GTTACAGTCTTAAAAATTCTGTACATAATAGATATATGTAACGAGAGAGAGAGCGTGCGTGAGAATGTGTTGATGACTTCGTGTGATATAATTTATCACGATTTGGTGGCCTTCGTCATGCGTTTCTTCCCTTTGTTTTCTTTTGCTGGGAGCACGTCCTGCGGGCCCCCTGTGGCGGTCTGGCTGTCAGGCTTCCACAGTCAGCATCTTGTTAGCCAAACAGTTCCCTTTGGCAGGTCCTTGGAGGGGCAGTGGTTTTGGAAGAGAGACAGCCCTTCTCTCTCCTCCTCACTGACCCGTGTCCTAAAGGTTACAGGGTTCAGGCATACCTGGTTATTGTTGTTGTTGTTGAATTTTTATTTTAACCAAAGGTTATCAGAGCCAGTTGGGCTTGGACCTCAGCTGCTAAAAAGATTTTCCGTTTCCACGAGGGCAGGAAAATGTCCACCCTCGCAATTCTCCTCCGTCCAGGGCGTGATGTGGGAGTTCCATGGGCAGCGTGAAAGCCAGCCCTGGGTTGTTCCCCAAGGTGGTGGGAGGGTGACAGACATATCTTTAGAGTTAAGACTGCAAGGCAGCAGTGCTGGCGTTGGAGGGTAGCTCAGGCTGCTGTGGTGATTGGTGTCTGGTAATATTGGTTTTGCTTTCCTCCTTGTATACATAGGCCATTTGTCTCTGAGGACTAGGGTACTCTAGGGAGTTTGAACATTGCAGGAGCCAGAAAGAGATCCTGACCTGAGAGGCCCTTCCTGCTGGCTTTTAATATCGGCTCTCCTCTTGGGAGTGAGGACTGGGTAGAGAGGTGGGTAGAGAGGGAGAGCCAGGGTGTGATGGGCCTGCCTCCTGGGCTGGTTCCTGGGTCTGGCCTGCCTCTCCACCACATGCTTTTTTTTCAGTTAGTTGCCAGTGGGCCCTGCTTGTCCCCTCATCATGAGCCCACAGCTTGCCAAGAAAGACCCCAACGCTCGCTGGGGCAGCACCAGTCCTAGCGGGGACAAATCGGTCCATCCTTTGTAAAGCTGTAAATACTTAATTTTGACTTTGTATTTCTAAGCCCAGTGTCATATTGACACTGGTATTTTAGAATTGTTCTCAGATGGGCTCTCCTGCACTGCCCTCTGTCTCCTATTTTTTGGGGGTTTTATACAAACAGAGGATTGGGGAGGGACAGGAAGACTAGCATCCTTTTGGCTGCCTGGTTGGTTGTGAGATACACACACACACACACACACACACACACACTCACTCCTCTGAGACTCTGAACAGAGAAAAAAATTATTGGCCAGCCAACACATTGTTCTTTCTTGTCTTGAGGTCCCTGAAGGATCAATCAATCCATCGTGGACTAACACTGTGGGTGGAGCTCAGATGACCTAGGGAGAAGGAAACCACTTCAGCTTGGAATGGGAGGATGGGGGTGGGGTAGGGGAGAATATAAGATGTAACTTCAGCTAAATGTAATCTATTTATAAAGCAAGAGACTCTCATCTATTTTTGTGAAAGGAAGGGTTTTTTAATCTAGGGTAGGCAGTTGTGATAGCCCAGCATTTTTCTGTGGACGAGACACGGTGCCTGTTGCTGCTGGATGGAATAGAACCCAGTCCCCTCTCCCTGCCTTCTTTCCTCACTTCTGGTCATCCACACCCATAAGCAGCTTCAGCAGAGGATAGGTCCCACTTCACCCCATTCTCCTCTCCTCTGACCCCTCAGCTCCTTGGAAGTTTTGGGGTGGGGATCTGAGAGGGAGGGTGGGCTGCAGGAAATTCAGAGGTGAGGTGAGTGGGGGAAGGGACAAGGGGGCGCTAGGGAGGGGACAAGCTCTGCTGTGGAGGATAGGCTCTGATTAATTAGTTACTCTGACTCTGGTCTGCCGAGATCCATCGGCGGCAGAGCGTGGGTGACAGTGGGAGCACACGACTTCCTTGGATCCTGGGCCTTTGCGGGTCCAGGTGGTCAGGCAGCCAGAGCAGGACTGGAAATAGCAAAAGATGCTCATAACCCAGCCCGGGCTGAGCCTGGGCTGCAAGCCTTGCTGTGTTCCCTGAAGGAGCCTGGGGGAGGGATCAGGGTGTTGAGAGTTTCCTAGGACCGGGTTCCTCCCCCTTGAGACACTAAGCTCTGGCTCTAGAACAGATTTCTCCTGGAGTGGGGCATCTGGAGGGGGCTGGGTGGGTGCAGGTAAAGCCAGAATCTCTCTGGAAGGGAATTTTTTTATGAATGGAAGATTTCCAGGCTTAGGGTGAGCTGTGTGTTAGTCCTGGGCAAATCCCTCACCAAGACCTCTCCCTCCCAAGCTCTCTAGGAAACAGGCAAAGCCCTCCCCTGCAAGACCCCTTGTGGACGTTTTTGCATCTACCTGATTTTTAGCCCCGTCCAGGGAGACTTTATACCCATGGTTCCATCCTGCCCCACCGCTGCTGTTGTCTGCCAGCTGGGTCTAGCGTCACAGGGAAGTGGGGGCATTTATACTCACCGAAAGACTACTGATCCTACCGGAAACCAACCTGTTTACTGTACTGTTGTAAATATCATGCCCTTTATATCCTGTATATTGGCTTCTTTTAAATAAAGTGAAATGTCTTAGAATTGATGGTGCTTTTTTTTGTTTTTGTTTTTAAGTAGAAGATGAATCTGGTGGTGGGGGAGGGGTGAGAGGGCTGAGGGCCACAGAAACACTCAAATAAACTCATTAGCTTCTTGGCCATAAACTAGGGGATTTTATATCACCTGTTAGATTTGTAGCTCACAGTAAAATCTTTGGAAGATGATAAAGCAGGACTCATGACACATTTTACTGAAGGGCAGGAGAGGAGCTGAGATGACAGGCTGAGTAACTGGCTTGGGCTGGTTTGGAACTGAAATCTTTTTTGTTATACTTGACCGAGCATAGAAAGTCAACACCAAGACAAAAGTATGCCAAATTGCAGGGTCTTTATTGCCAGTGGCCATGGAGGACTCGCGTCTCTCCAACCCGTGGCGTCGAAAGGAGGGTGCCAATACTTTTTTTTTTTTTTTTTGAGACGGAATTTCGCTCTTGTTACCCAGGCTGGAGTGCAATGGCGCGATCGCTCACCACAACCTCCGCCTCCTGGGTTCAGGCAGTTTTCCTGCCTCAGCCTCCCAAGTAGCTGGGATTACAGGCACGCGCCACCATGCCCCGCTAATTTTTTTGTATTTTTAGTAGAGACGGGGTTTCACCATGTTGGCCAGGATGGTCTCCATCTCTTGACCTCGTGATCCACCTGCCTCGGCCTCCCAAAGTGCTGGGATTACAGGCGTGAGCCACCGCGCCTGGCCGGGTGCCAATACTTTTTATACCCGAAAAGCCACCTTGGGAGTGGGAGTGAGGAGCGGGGATGGGGCTTCAGACATTCTGAGGGCTAGTGGATTCTGTAAATCACCTCCTGGGCAGAGACGAGGGCTCCGGACATTCCAAGGACCAGGGGACTTTTGTCATTCCGATTGTTACTTAAGTGGTTTACAGAAGTCAAGATAAACATTAGTTTACTTATTATCTGGGTAGGGTAGATCTTAGTTACTTATTACAAGTCGCAGGAGCCAAGATGGTGTGGGTTAGGACTGCTTGCCTGTCACATTAGGGTCACAGAGAGCAGTTACTGATAAGCAAAGGTAAGCAGCTTCACATGGTAGTTATTTTGCAGAGCAAACTAGCAGTTTTATTTACAGAAGCCAAGGCCAGCAGTTATTGTGAGAGAATGGGGCAGCCGTTACAACTTATTTCAAAAACAGCTTTGTCTTTTATAAAATGGCGTTGCTTAGGTTCTAACTTTAGGCCAGCTATGTCACATTTTAACCGCAAAGCCCCATTCTTCCAGGCTTTCCAATGTGCCCACAGGAGGCCACCTTTCGGGGCTTTGGATTTGACACTACCCAACTTTCCAGTTTTTCTTGTTAATAGGCATGTTCAGGGCAAAATTGCCCCAATGTGAACTGAGCCCACCTGTCCAGGGTCTTCTCCAAAGATGAAGACAGCCGCCACAACTCCAATTTGCTCTTCGCCATTCCTAATCCTTGGCGCTTACCTAGTTTCCTGTCCTACTCTTCATTTAAGTGTTTAAATTCTCCCAAAGTATCTTAAATGGTGTAATCCGGAGAAAAAGAAGTGGCCTAACATTGGGGGGCATTTTGAGTTGGGTATTAATACCTCTGTTTTACAGATGAGGAAACTGAGGTGCAGAAAGGATATGTAGCCTGCCTGGTGCCCTATGGAGGAACCAGCATCAGCATCGGAACTGACTCCTAGGCAGGTGTCCAGTTCATGCTGCTGGAAGAAATATAAACAGAATAGTGAGTAAGGAAACACATAACATTAGGTAAAATAGATTGGGTCCCTGAGACCTTGTCATCAGAGAACACTTCAGAATCCGAGTTTTAAATAGCATTCGAGTGTTTACCAAGCAAACAACTTTTTGCAAAGAAAGCTGAAATTTTTACATGGGGGTAAAAGGCTCAGGAACAACTGGTTTTACGGCCAAAGGCTTTAAACGAAAAGCTAAGCGTTGGCCAGCCTGGGTTTCATCTTGCATTGATCGTCATCATCTGCAAGGAAGCTGGGAAGCTGGTCGGCCCCGCGCCTGGCGGGTAGCTGGAGGGCGGCAGGGTCCTGGCAAAGAAGCCGGAAGGCGGGCTTCATTCCAGGGGCTGCAGCCTCCGGGAAGAGGCAGAGGGCTGGCCGCGGTGTGACCCTGCGGGGTCGAGGAGTCTGGTAGCAGACAGGTTTCCAGCCTCACATCCGCCACTGGTAGACGGAAAGAAGCCAGTCGGTCTCTCGCTGCACGCGGGGCGTCACCCCAGGAGGCCGGGCGCAGCGAGTCCTTCCGCCCGGCTTCAGCACTTGTCCCATTCCGATTATATAATTGGCTCCTTCAGCCCCGCTCTGCCCCACTTTGGGAGGCTGCAACAGGGCTGCCCCGCTGATTGGTTTAGAAGCTTCCATGTGTCACTCTGATTGGTCGACGGGGTTCACGCCCTCTCCCGCGGTCATACCATAAAGAAAGAAGGGGAAAACGCATGACTTTCAGGACTTCGCTTTCGGGTTCCCTTGCCCTGTGTAGTGTAATGTCCCCGTTATGCAGCATAAATATATTTTTAATTAGCCGAAGCTAAATATAGGGGGAATTTGGCTGATCCCGAGCTCGGAGGACAGTAGGGGTGATCCGTTTCCCCCCCCACGGATCTAGGTGGTGTGCAGGTGGTGCCCTCCGGACCGGGCCTTGCCTTCTAGCCGCGCCCGGGCGGACGAGCCAGCCAACAACCTCGCTGCGATCCCGAGATGCTGCTGCCGGCGCCCGCGCTCCGCCGCGCCCTGCTATCCCGCCCCTGGACCCGGGCCGGGTGAGTGTGCACGGGGCCTGGGGCGGCCTGAGCGGGCGCGTGGGGCCCAGGAACCTGGGAGGGACTGGCGTCCCCCGCGCCGCATTCTCTCCCTGCCGGACCCTCAAGCTGCTCCGGTCACCGCCGGGTTCCTCGGGGGCTCCTCTCCGCTCCCCACCCAGGCCTGCCTCCCACTGAGATCTCTTAGCCTCCCGCCTCCGTCTCCCTCAGGTAGTACAGTACCTTCCCTTAGCGAGGGGAACCCCTCTTCCCGAATCCCGCGACTGGGTAGGGTGCCTCGAGGGCCCCGCCGGTTGCCACGCTCGGAAAGTAGCTTCCACAGTCACTCACCTCACTCCTAATACTGGGTCTTGGCAGTTTGCTGGCGTCCCCCGAGGGGCACCTCTATTTTTAGCACACCACACATTTCACTTCCCCACCCTCGTCTCCCGTTCAGTGCCTCCACCCCGCCCCGGATTCCCCGAGTCCTCCTCTCCTTCTTCTACCAGGATTTCTACCTCTCTTTTTTTCCGTCCCGTCCCCCATCCCCGCTTTTTTTCCAAGTTAAATGTTGGGCAGAAAAGAGGGACTCCCTTCTTCTTGTAGGTGGAATAATCGTATTTATGGAGTGCTTATAATGAACCAAATACTGGTCAGGCACTTGGCTGGTGTCTTGCCATGAGGATTACACCAGCTAACACATGAGGAGTGCACTGAACAGCACCCAGCACTTAGGTAGCGCCCGGTTATTATTACCAGGATCATTATTATGATCTCTATGTAAACTTCTCACTCCCTTGAGGCAGGTATTATTCCAAATGTTGAAGAAACCCAGGAGCAGTTCAGGGGTGGAGCTGCCCTGCAAACGCAGATTTGCAAACCTGACCTTGTGGGAGCTGGGTGCCTGGACCCTTGCCCACTCCATGACAAATATTCCCAGAACCCCTCCAGCTCTGAGCTAGGTTTGGAGAGGTAGGTGGGACACAGACCCTGCCCCAGAGGGGCTCCTAGTCTGGTGGAGCTGCCCACCTGGGGATCAGCTCCCCCTCCCATGTGAGTTTTGTTTGCTTGACCCCTGGGGCTGTTAGTGGCTCTGTCTCTCCTGATGAGCTGTGCCCTTTCTGAGTTAATCAGTGGCTCTCTCCCTTCCCCCAAGGGATGGCAGGGTGGTGCCCTGAGCACAAGTGAATTTCAACACTGCTGTGTGTCCTGTCTTGGTAGGAGCGGAATAGGAGAGGGTTCAGGAGGAGGACATGGTATAGAAGGGTTCCTCTTGTAGCCTGAGACGGGGGCCACACCTACCACACTTGGTGTGAGATCCCATTTGCAGGTGTTTCCTGCACTCTGAGACCCAGGAAGGTGGGCTTGTAGAGTCCTGTGTTTACTGAGTGCCTACTATGAGCTGGTGCTCTCCAAACACCCTGGAGGTGAGGCGTACCCAGTGAATTCACATGTGGGTGGGGCCTTTGAGGAGTTTTCAGCTTAATAGGGGAGAAATGTGTAGACGCCAAAACCCTCCAGTATCTAGTAGACAGCAATCCATGTTCTAAAATAAAAGTCCATGATAACAGTAATAATTATCAAGCAATCAAGCACCACACTGTGCTGATAAGTATCATGGGAAATGATCTGCCATTTAAGGCAGAGAAATACGACTGAAATTACAGTTGGTCTAAATCCAGATTCATGCTCTGGATTATGAGGCCTCCCGAATTGAGAGGGGAAAGAGAAAGAGCGTTTTGCAACCGCTTCCCTGGGCTCAGGTTACCTCTTTGATACAGCAGCTGGCCCAATGCCCTAGACAGGATTTCTCAACCTCACCACTATGAGCATTTGGGGGCTCCATTTTTGTTGCGGCGGAGTCTGTACTGTGCACTGTAGAATGTTAGCAGCATCCCTGGTCTTTACCACTGCTTGCCAGGGGCACCCCCGGCCCTGACAATGAAAAGAAGTCCTGACCCTGACAGTAAAAACAAGTTCGTAGACATTGCTGGATGTTACCTAGACAAAACTAGCTCTGGTTGGGAGCCACTGCTCTGGGGGAACAGGTTTGGTAGTTTGATCACTCGTTCCTTTACTCAACTAACATTTAGGGCTCACCTGTGGCATCCCATGTCTGCATCTATGGAGAAACAGTTTCAGGGATTTTCAATGACATCTCTCAGTGTCCTACGGGTAAAACTCTAGTCCTGAGAAAAACTGCATGCTTTTGAGGAACGGGTATGAGAGATGTTTCTTCTTTTCTTTTCTTTTCTTTTTTTTTTTTTTTTTTTGAGATGGAGTTCTGCTCTTGTTGCCCAGGCTGGAGCTGGAGTGCAATGGCGTGATCTCGGCTCACTGCAACCTCCGCCTCCTGGGTTCAGGCAATTTTCCTGCTTCAGCCTCCTGAGTAGCTGGGATTACAGGCACGCGCCACCATACCTGGCTAATTTTGTATTTTTAGTAGAGACGGGTTTCTCCATGTTGGTCAGGCTGGTCCCGACCTCAGGTGATCCGCCTGCCTCGGCCTCCCAAAGTGCTGGGACTACAGGCATGAGCCACCACACTCGGCCTGTGGGAGATGTTTCTTAATGTTTCCTTTTTTGCCTTGAGTGTCAGGAATCTCAGCCAGTTTTAAAAAATATCCTTTATATGTATTTTCTTTTTGTTTAATACATGTCAATTGTGAAAAGTACAGATAAAGCAAAAATACAACCATCACCTGGAACTGTGCCACACAGAGGTAACCACTGTTAACATTTTGATTCATATCCTTTAACTTTCCATGAATATATCTGCTTTAAAAAAAACCCATAGAAACAAGCTCATCTACAAGTAATTTACGGTAGCTTGTTTTTTCCCTTTCTGCACTGGTCTGCCTTACAGTATTTTCCCGGGGCCTGGAACTGTGTCTGGCACGTGGTAAGCCCTTGGCAAAACATTTAGGGAATGAATGAATTTACCATGTGAGCCCTTCCTTGTCAACCGATATTTATCACAGCCAGCCTCAGGACAGTCACCGCAAACATGTGGCCTTCATAGGTGGGCCCAGGGATGGTGGCTGGTGACAATGACCGCCATTTACCTTTCATGTGGATTATTTTACTCAGCAACTCATGATGTAAGGGTTGCCACCCCATTTCATGGATTAAACACCCGAGGCCCATGGCTGTCAAGGCAATCGTCTCCAAGGCCTTGAGCGGGCGGACCCCAGGCCTCCTGTGGGACCGCCTCCGTTCTCCTTTCACCTGACTTCCTGTTCTTTTCTCAATTAACTTTACCATCCATGTCCCAGTTTTCTTTGGAAACATGCAGGATACAGATTTATGTAGAAACGTAACAAATAACCAAGCCAGCCCAGGCATGTCGTTGGCTTATAAGAAGTGTTCCTTTCTGTTCCTTACTCCTCCTCATGCCAAACCCAGGTGTGACTCCTGCTCAGCCCATCTGACCTCAGGGGGCTTGTGGGCTGGGATTGGCTACCACCCTGTCCCCTGCAGCGATCCTGTGTGATTTCAGACTCTTCTTAGTCTGCCTGATGGTTTAGTTTTCAAAATATCGAAGTCTGCATGGCCTTGGATGGGCATAGCTTGCCCTGGGTGGGGGGGCACTGGCACTTCCCACCATTCCCTAGGCATTCTCAGCTCTTGAATTCCTCATTCTTCCAACCAGTGGCCGGGGCAGTGACTTTGGCCTGGAATGTCCTGCTGGCCACCGCGGTGAACCCATTCGAATGCTTTGAGGCCTTGGCAAGGTAGCTTCAGTATCCTCATCTGCAAAACGCGGATGATTGTATTAACAGCCACTTAGCAGGTGGCTGCAAGGATTAGTGGTGATGTGACCACTGGTTTCCTGGGTGCCTGGTACCGAACGTGTGCTCTGTATTTGATTGGAAGAATAATTAAAACCTATGACTATCACCACACTTCTAAAGTAGTGAAAGTGCCATTGAGGCAGAGCTTGGCAGTGGCTCTCCTGGGAGCAGTCTGCCTCCTGTGACCCGCCTCAGGCCTGGCACACAGTAGGTGTTGAACAGTTGCTGTTGAGATAGCCCGGAGCACAGCATGGCTTGGATCCTGGCTCCGACTCTTGGCAGCTTTGTGGCTCCTGGCAGGTAACTCACCCTCTCTGTGCTCCCTTAATGTTCTCATATGGAAAATAAAGATGATAGTAGTAGTCACCGCATAGGATTGGCCTGCGGGTTAAATGATCTCATAGGTGAGAAGCACTTTGGAGTGCTCAGTGCTGGGGGATACTAGGTAAATGCTGCTGCTGTGGGGATGATCCCCTTCTCCCACCAGTGGGCTTCCCGGAGTGATCCTCCTCCATCAGGAATATCAAGGCAGCAGGGTCCCCAGCAGTGAAGGATGGTCGCAGGAGGGGAGGTATGGTCCTCGGTCTCTTCCCTTTATTTCAATTAAGTACCCCAGGTGCAAAACCCCTTCTGTTATTGTTGTGTGTGTGTGTGTGTGTGTGTGTGTGTGTGTGTTGCCCAGGCTGGAGTATAGTGTCACAATCTCAGCTTACTGCAGCCTCAACCTCCTGGGCTCAGTCATCCCCACCTCAGCCTCCCAAGTAGCTGGAACTACAGGCTCACATCACCATGCCCAGCTAATTTTTGTATTTTTTTTTTTGTAGAGAAGGGGTTTCATCATGTTAGCCAGGCTGGTCTCAACCTCCTAGGCTAAAGTGATCCTCCCACCTTGGCCTCCCAAAGTGCTGGGATTCCAGGTGTGAGCCACTGCGCTCAACCTTCTGTTAGGCTTTTGACCCTGCTCTCCTCAGGGGATGGACGAGACTTCTCCCTTCCTTGCAGGCTCCTTATTCCTACACCTTTCCTGTCCTGGCAGAGGCCTGGCATGGAGTGAAGAGTCCCTGGGCTGAGCTGCAGTACCAGTGGACAGCTCAGTGACCTTGGGCAAGTCACTGCCCATCTTGGGGTGGCCTCTTTCCTCAGGTGGGAAATGAATTCTAGCCGTACGGTGAGGAGGATTAAAGTGTCCCATCAGCCCCACCCGACCATGGGCCTCTGAGATGTTCCA